GTTGCATCTTAAAAGAGTTTTGAATACATTTTGCTTAAGTAAAAGATTTGAATATTGCAAATACTCTCAGACACCAGTAAAAGTAAATATATTATTGTCATTAAGTATATTTTAAAGTTCTTAAAGTTTAAAAATAACTGATTTCTATTCGAACACGTTTTAAAATATCATGTATTCCTGTGATTGTAAAGCTGAATTCACTCTAACATGTTGATTCGTTATTTTACAATACAGTGCAATCACTCTGTTAAAGATTGCATGCTAGGAACACATGTCTGGAAGGATGGCATTTAGTGAATTTACCTAATAAAATGACATTTTGATAATAAAAAAAAAACACCTCTGCAACCTAAATTATGCCCACTATACAGCACAGCCTCATATTTCATTACCTGGTCACAGAATCTCACATATTGTTACCCTCACTTTTACCTCTCCTGTTCAGCGGACTACATTATTCAATTTATTTAGCTTTTGAAAGTGAAAGCCTATGACCATTTCACCCTGAAGCTACACTGACCAGGCTGTCGGACATATGACGACTCAAAGTGTGAACTGCTCCAATTACGCGGCCTAGTGAGCATGGCTGTCAGAGCCACAGGGCTGCTTATTTAAAATTACCAGAGCAACATCAGTCAGAGAACAGCCACTACAGACAATATCAGCTCTAAAGATTTAGAGCCTGTGTTACAAATCTGAGGTCATTTCCTCCAAACCAAACTGGACTGGAAAGAGCTTACTATATGGGCCAGGGTTATAAACGCATCTGCTGTAGTGAATCGCTAGTGACTCCAATGAGATCTGGCAGCTACAAACATGTTCTATCATTAATTACTGATGTTAGTCAAAATTAGGGAAAACAGCCTTTAATTTGGATTGTGCAACAAGCCGCAACTCGAACTAGTCTTTATTTAAAATCCAGTAATTGAAGCTAAATCGCAAAGCCCTCGAAAATGAGGCAGGGATACCGATACAGACTCTAGGTGAGTGATTCCACCCAGCCATATTGCACGAGTCCTTGGGAGAGTCCGCCCTCGACAGACGCAGTTTGTAACTGTCAAACGCTCATGATCTACAGTGCTGGGCTTCAAGCCAGCAGATGGTGGGAGAAATTAAACTTGTGACATGGACCGTTGACTGGAGCCGGGGAAGCAGTTGGAGACCACACCTGTAAAGCAGAGGGGGTCTGCGTGCGATGCGTGAGAGCGCTTCCCTGGAATGTGCATAAGCAAATTATGCTCTTCCAGGAAAACTGAAAGTTTCTATTCAGGAAAATGAACTGTCATTCAGGTTCAAATTCAAAAGCTTATTGTAATGAAACACACAGTTGATGACACATGGTGTCAGTAACATGGTGGGCGATACTGATCCAGATTAGTCTTTGCCTTTACTTGACTAGCTGGAAAAATAAAAATTGAAAATACCAGAAACAAATGATTTTCATGGCATTTGGTGCCTATGACAATTCTAGAATCTGCATTGTTCCACCGACGCAAACAAAACAAGGCCTCCTTAAAAACTTTCAAGAGTGTGATTCATTGTTTCTTGTGAATACTTTGCAGCGGAAAGTTTTTTTTTTTACACTTTTTTTCTCCACATTTGTGCAACACGTGACATGTTTCACAAACTGATCTAGTAGATAAAAACAAAAACACAGAACTAAAAATAAGTGAACAAGTTATAACCTGTTGTTGTTTTTTCCCAAGAATTGTAAAACATAATATGATCTGATAAGAACTGAAGAAACTGCTGCTTGTGAATGCAATTTGATTCGTTTTCCAATAATTGCTCATTCTTTCTTCCTCGAAACTACAAAAAAATGATTATTAATGGAATCTGAATCAGAACAACAAGTGAACTAAGTCAAATCTGAATCAAAACGACAAATATTACATTCCTTACAATTCCCATCCCAACTCGTTACTAAATTGCTAATTCAATATTCATTCACTGACAGTGAGTAATGTTTAGCAATTACATTGTCAGGTTTGAGCCACTTTGATAGACAAGAGCTCCAGGAGTTTTGTAAGCATACCCGTAGAGCTTTTGAAGATTATATCTAATGAGGAAACCGCATCCTCAATGTACAGAAATATTTTACCGATCCATCATTTAAAAGCATTCCTGTGGTTTTAGAGGACATTGGGAGTTCTTTCTAATTCCTCACTATGTGACACGCAAAAGCATGTACATCATCATGTTAATATGAGACCAGACAAGACCATAAAATGCACCGGCCAAAAATGAGAGGAACTCCTTTTTTCTTTTTTTTTTACCATCTGGGGGGACGGTAGGAAAAGTTCTGAAGCAAATGCACCCAGAATTATACCTTTTGATTGTGATTTAGCGGATGGAATGAAAATCATTAAACCGAACAATGCAAAAGTACATGTAACAAACTGCTTTGCATTCAGTCTTCGCTGCAGTCCTTGAGTGTCAGTAATGTCAAATCTCTCCGCTACAGAGAAATGAGGAGCACAAATGGGGTGCAGCTAGACGAAGTCATTATGAATTCACACAGAGGCCCATGTTGGCATCCGCACAATGTGATTACAACAGAGGCATGGCAAATTTTTATTCAACAGGCAACAGCTGTGAGCAACTAACGCCCACAACCTTGGTGCAAGTGCAGCCTAGAAGTTGAAATGAAACCTGCTGGTATTCCTCACGACGTGTAGTGTGTGGCGACATGCGAACCCTGAAGACATGTTAGGATGCATCAGTGGCCCTCTAAGGAAAAGGACTTGTTCACGCTTCTAGAGCAACCATACATATCATAATCGCAACAGAAATGCTCTCATAATTGCCTTCTGTTTAAATTGGGTTCAATTATGTTAAGTTCACATTAATTGTTTAGCAATATGATTCAAGTAGCTAATTAGAAAGGCAGACGCAGTGACTCATATTTTCCTAAGCTGTGTGCGACCAGCTAAACTCAGGTGGGAGTGATTCCTGTGACTGAAACAAGTTCTAGCACATTAACACACGTCTGTAAACCAGGTCATTCAACATTAAGAAGTTTAACTCTCTTAAGTACATAATGGCTTGCTGTTTGAGAGATACGGTCATTTTTTTCCCTTCCACCTTGCAAGATTCAACCGAACCAAACCAAACCGGAAAACCAAACAAAAAAGCAAAGCACACACATAAAAAACAAACAAACTTTATACTGCTTAAGGTTGCTTTATGTTTAACTTGCTTTTACATGGCTCTCTGAAATACTATTCTAATTGGTCAATCATGCGATAACTGCTTTCCCACATGACTGTGCTCACTTCTCTCATATCGCTTTACATATTGTTCTCTCAATTTAATGTTAAATGTCAGTGTTTATGTTGCCATAATGACTGGCTGACCGTATAATGTGAATTACACCTTGGTATACTGCATGATTAGCATATTCATACCATCTCTGTTCCAAGAAAATGGCCAAAGAAACACTGTACCTATTGGATTTAAAGCAGTGTTAGCACCACAGTTCTGCCCGGGTTGAACAGTGATCAAAATCAATGTGTTATATTTCAGCCTAATATAATTTCTATGAGTTTAAGATGAGGTGATTGCATCTCTGGCAGAGATTCCCAAGACCCTCCAAATGTGCCGCAGAGGACATCCTTTTGTAAGTCATTAGAGAACATCATTATCATTCAGCTTCTCCTTTGTGCTGGTCTTTCAGCATTGCTGTAGGACACAAATGATGCATTGCTTGCTATGAACAGTGAGCTATAAATAGAGTTCATTCAGTCCTGCAGGATCCTGTGAGCGTCCATCTTATCCACTTCACTGTGGAAAGCAGCTAAAAGAGCCAAACTGCCTGCCTTCAATATGGAACCTCTCTCTTCGTCTTCCTCTCTGAACAGGGCCAGAGGACTCAACATTCATCAGATGATTTCTTCATTCGAGGCTTCTAATTTCAACCAAATGGCCTTGGTCTGCTCATACACAGAGGTGAAAAATAAGATTAGAAGGGATTACACTGTGGGCACGTGTGTAATCCCAAACACATGGTGCTGGGGTGGGTCAGCCGTTACTACAAGGAATTCTGTGGGATATTTTAAGATATTAATTTCAATAGTGGCTGAATTTTCGACATTTCATCACATGCTCATGTTCCAGTCTCATGCTTCGGGCTTATTTCTCAGCACATGAATATATCGATGATTTACATGCAATCCAGGTGGCAATGGAAATATGGGTAAGGGGGTTATTCTTAAAATGAGGGCTCACAACCTAATACGCTACTATTGACGCAAGACACTATAAATGTAAAATCAATCGACAACCGCTTTGACTAATAATAAATCTTTATAAACAATTTTATAAAAGGCCACATTGGTGCTGGCAGTGTGTAAATGTGCATTTCGTTTTTGTTTTGTTATCTTTACAAATGTATTAATTTTACAATCCACTAGCCATTCCAATGATAAAATACTGAATAATAAAAAATGTATTTTATAAGCAACATTTTTATAATTAATAATTTTATCACTTGTTATGAAAGTGAAAAGTGAAAGTTACGTGACATGTGGCCAAGTATGGTGACCCGTACTTAGAATTAGTGCTCTGCATTTAACCCATCCTAAGTGCACACACACAGCAGTGAACACACACACACCGTGAACACACACCCGGAGCAGTGGGCAGCCATTTATGCTGCGGCGCCCGGGGAGCAGTTGGGGGTTCAGTGCCTTGCTCAAGGGCACCTCAGTCGTGTTATTGAAGGTGGGAGAGAGCGCTGTACATTCACTCCCCCCACCTACAATCCCTGCCGGTATGAGACTCGAACCCGCAACTTCCCCAGCTATGGCTAGATGATTTTAAAAATAAACTGGTAGGTAGAATTCAAATTCAACTAGGCTCATTTCCCACTCCCACTCCATCTTCTCCTGACATTCTTCACTATCCTGTCCAATTAAAGGCATTTTATGAAAATTAAAGGCAGGTATTTATGAAATACCGGTCAAATCAAGGGCCATCAAATGGCAACAGGGGCGTCTTACCTTCCAGCACAGTAAGTTTGGCACTGGTGTTGATTTCTCCCACACTGTTGGTGGCTGTGCACTCGTAGATGGCCTCGTCCCTGTGAGTACGTAGCGGCTGTATGCGGAGAACTGAGCCCGAGCCATCATCAAATTCAATCACCTGAGAAAGAAAGACACACTGTCAAATATTTTTCTCTCCTCTCGTTCTAAATTTACGACAAACCTTCAGACAGATCGTATATCGTATAAAGAGCGGTGGGTCTTTAATCACCTCCCTCTGAACTTTCAGCCAAGTACTGTCTTGAGTTATTCTCTTGGAACTGCCACGTCTATCCAAGGCGGATATTGTGACAACTGTTGACGGGATGGGCTCATTTTCTTGTGTATAAAAAAAAACAAAAAAAACAAACACAAATTTCAGCCCTGCTGTGGTGCTGAAGACCTAAAATCAGCAAGGTGTGTATGGGGCTAGAACAGGATACTTAAAGAATACTTCAGAGATGATACATTTAGTGCATTTAGGCTGCTGTGTTCTCCTCCCACACAGAGATCTACATCGCCTCATTTCGGGAAAAGAACAGGGCTAGGCAACATGGTTGAAAATAGCCTGAAAAAATATATTTTTACGACATTTGACAAAGCAGCTCCAAAACATATTTGGACACTGAAGCAAAACCTAAAATGTACGGTATTATGACAAATGTTTGTCAGATACCAGTTGGTTTGACATTTTTAGATGTGTTTTAACCCCTTAACTGTCAGGTGGGACGCTTGGCACTCTTTTTCTTGTTGTCCTTTTTCTCTATCAAATCTTTTAGTAATCATCATAAATCATATATCATTTGAAAGCTTAGAAGCCCAAGATTCATCCTGTGAAAACCATTGAAATCAGACATTGCGTTACCATGGAAATGGTACTTTAAAATATTTTGGCGATCTCCTCCCCCTTAGTGGGCAGTGTCAAGTGTCATATTACAAAATGCATTACGCTCTTTTACAATCAAAACTTTTTATAATCTTGACAAAAAAACATATCATTGGAAAGGTCTGAGTCTCTGGATTCCATATTTGGAGGATTTTATAATTAATTTCCGTATTTATTTTGAGATAGATGTAATATTGACAGAGAAATCTAGACATTTAAAATGCATTAAAAAATCGAATAGAGTTTGGATGGCACCCCGTATATTATTTAGGGTGGTATAACGCCCTAAATAAAATCTCACAAGAACCTCAATTTTTTTCATATCAACTTCAAATTTGATAAAATTAATATAGTGCATTTTCTTTACAGTAAATGTAAACTACCATAACTTTTTGATACTTAATTTTTTAATTTTTTTTAATTACAATCTGCTGATTTTCTTCTTTAAAAAGAGACCAAACTTATGTCTGTATTCCAAAGTGTTCATAAATTACAACAATTTAAGTTTGGATAGTGCACCTGCATGCCTATTTTAAAAAATGGGGGGTGACAGTTAAGGGGTCACTGTATTTATTTCTTAAATAAACATATAAATAATTTTTAAATAAATAAAATAAATATTTATTTCTTAGTAAATAAAATAGTAAGAAGTATTTGTATTACATAAAATGCAACAATATTTAATTATATATATTTTTTTGCTCCAAAACAAACAAACAATCACTCAACACTATTTATCTATTTTTGCAGTGAAAGTGTCCAAATACTTTTTTGTTTGTTTGTAACCAAGTTTTTTTTTTTGCTTAAAGCAGCCCTGTTCCCTGTTGAAAAAGAATAAAATAATGGGGCTCCATACTGACCCTAAACCATCCCGAGGTCATCACACCTCTTTACATTTACTTCCGATCTCAGCTTAAACCACAACACAGATAGAACAGGAATTAGGGCAAAGGGAATAGAGGGACAACACAGAGGGGTGTGACGTGGCTGACGGCAACACAAAAGAATATATCAGCGTAAGAAGAAAAACAAGAGTGTTGCGCAAACGACTGACGATGGAAAGCAGAAAGGCATCATAATGATGTGGCATGGGAGAGACACTGACATGCCAAGGAGAGGCAGGGAAAGACAGTTAGTCACCTCAAAGCGCTGGGAGCTAACTTTCTTTCCTTTCTTCATCCATGTGATCCGAGGCTTGGGCTCACCCGCTGCTTGGCACACAAAGGATGCCACTCCTCCCGAAATCCCCGTCTGGTCCTCTGGAGATTTGATGAAATTTGGCAAGCCTTGAAAAGTGATGTAGAAAGAAAAAAAACAGAGAGAAAAAAGCAGCCATTAGTTCCTGAACTGTGGTCGTGCAAAACCATTGTTAAACTAGTTATGAACGGGAATCCTTCAGACTGGAACTAAGTTAACACCTGCAGCTAAGCCTGAGAGAAATGTTCCCCCTCAAGTCACCTAATACTTGTCAGAATGATCCATTCTCTGAATAACAGCTTATAGCTAATAAAAGCTACAGCTAATAAAAAATAGACATTGTAACATTAATAAAAAATACTAGTGCTGTCAACTGACAAACATCAAACTAATCAAATATTTGACAAAAGTGACAAACAACTGATCAAATATTTGAGAAATGTTTTGTCATAATTTTACAAAACATAAAAAAACAGCTTTAAAAGTCAATGAGGCAGTCACAAGCAGCACGTTAAAATGTGTCAAGATAAAAATAGTTCAACATCTCGAGAACCCTGCATTATGTTCCGATGCACTCTGTCTAGTTCTGTCAGTTTAACTCATTCATTAATTATTAAAAAAATTAACATGCTAAAAGATGAACTTTAATTGGTCACATTATTATTTAATTAAATCACACTGGAAGCCCTATAAAATAGACATTGCATACATTTAATAGTCAATATTTGTCCATATAATCACACAAAATGCAAGTGTTAACTTGACAGACTTAAAAAAAAATACAAAACAGACATTGAATACATCAACTGTCTTTTTTTGTACATTAATCACATTATTGTGACAACCCAGGAAAACATATACATTAATTTTTTTTTCTTCTTAATAATTAAATTAAATTAAGTGTTACGGTCTGGGATAACAGAAAATAAACCGTTAATATGATTCAACAGCCAAACATGGCCCCAATAATTAACAAACACTCACACGTGGAGGTGAAAAGGAATCAAAACACTTCATTCTCTATTCAAAAGGAGGAACGCTGACAATAGTATGGCAAAGAACTTATGGCTAAACAACATTCAGGGTTGTTTTTAAACAGGCCAGTCGGAGCACGCTGCAGCTCATGGTTTTTTGGCAGAGCAGTTCACACACCCTGCATCTTTGTCATGCATTTACAATACAAACAACAATGGGACATGTTTCATCACTGCTCAACTAGGTAGGACTGTGCGAAGATAAAGACCCACACATATCGCCTGACTCATTTCAAACACGTAATGGCTTGTTTCAAAGAACATCAGTGCCAGATCAAGCAGAGCAAGACCATTTGGCAGAATTGCAGCTACTGCGCAACATTCCGCGGAAGTAGTGGGTGACGCGGGTGAAAGGTGAATCACACGGTAAAGCCAGATATAAACATCATGGCATACAGATATTATCAAAAATAATACAAGCAACTCTTTGTAGTTGCTCTCACAAGGGTGGGAAATCATCTTCAAGGACAAGCAGGCCAGTGTTTGACCTTATAAGACATGTACAAGGACAGATTTAAACTGTGTTTGTCTAGAATGTGCACCAAGCTGTTTTTTTGATGTTCCTGTTTGCTAAAAAATAAAAAGGAGCTACATAATTTAATTAATATAATAATGATTAAATAAATAGAAAATAATAATGATAATATTTATTATTATTATGTTATAAAGTTGACAGTGTATCTCATTTTCTACCCAGCTATTAATGCAATGATCTATAAACCTGAGAAACACATTTCATTCAAATGTATCTTAATATCAAATTTATAAGCAGTTTAACACAATATATTTGCTTGCAAAATTCAGTGATCAATAAACAAGATTAAGGCAAGAGTGATGAGAAACTTTGGGAAAAAATATACAAATACAAGTTATTCTCAAATGTATATTCACTGCAAACAAATAACATATATATTTAAAATTTATTTTAGAAAATACACATTTTAGAAATTTGCTTTTAGATTTATTTTAGACAAAAACGTACTAAAACCGCTGCATCGCCCAATCAAGTAGGCTAATCAATCAATCAATCAATCAATAAATAAATACATTTGTAAACATTAAATATTATACTAGACATATCACTTGTATTACCCTTATACCATTCACTAATGCCATCAGATCAGAAACACAACCATATTGAATCTAACAGAAAAATGGACTCTCATCTGTAAATACTTCACCTGCATTAAATATGAAAAACATAAACTGGACCCTGAAAACCACTTTTAACCTGATCTCAGTTTATCAGTCCCATGATTTCTGATAATCTCCTTCATAAGGAGGACACAAAAATCCATTATCACAGTGAAACACCTCCAGTGAACCACGGGTGTCCTAGCGGGTGGTCCACGGTGGGATTCTAATCCTCTCTTAGTCAAGGGAGAGATAAATTACAGCAGTGTGGAGACTACATGCGGTAGTACATATGATTCTCTTGGAGGGAAGAAGCCAAGGGAATACGGTGCCGCCACAACGGTGTCCTTCCTCCTCTATACTTCGGGATCAGAAGGATAGTGCTGAAGAAAACAAAATCAATACCTAGTTAACATAACATAGCACCTACGGGTAAGGTGGATAAGTACTGACTAGCAGACTTTGTGTTTGTTAAATCATCAGTGCAGTGTGCCAGGCGACTGGGGCTGCTCTTGCTCTAGGACATAACCCCCACTGAAGCTTTATCTGAGAAGAAGACACCCACAACTGTTAGGTTGTTTGTGTGTATGCACCTGCATGTGTATCCATTGTAAAATCTAAGCCAATGTGTACCACACCAGCACCTCTATGACCCACAGGAGTATTGGCTGGCCTGACATTTAAATGACATTTACGTGCTGGTTCCTCTAGAGACCGGTTTGATTGGCACCACAGAGCAATGCATTCCCTCATAAAAGCCTTTCTGGCCACTTTTATTTCTGTTATACACACACAAAGGAGTGGAAAGGGAGTTTTGAGAGCTTTCGGCCTCCTCTCATGGATAGCTTCTGGTAGTTTCATGGGTAAAACCCAACAAGATTCTCCAGTTACCTTGCTGGGAGTTTCCCAAGACATGGATACTTGGATGTGCATGTGATTTAAAGCTTGAGATTAGCGTCAGTTTGACATTCAAGAGTGCTTCTGTCATGACAATTCTATTAGATGTACTCAGCATGTGGGTTTTCCCCCCATTGTTTATGAGCAAGGATCAGCGGACAGTAACCCATCTGGGCACATGTTTTGAATTAAAGTGCATATAAACTTCTGAGAGTTTAGGCAGATGGGATGCATGAATGAACCACAGAGGTCCTGGGGAAAGACAGATAACTAGAGTGTAGACAGGCAGATAATTGGTTTGATCAATACTTTGATAAAAAAAAAGTCAACTTTGGCTCTACCAATGAATGGTCTTTAATAATAGCACTCAACAACACATTCTCCACTAACTATTGTAAGTTTTGTTTGGATAATGAACATTTACACACAGCCTGAAACAAGGAGGAAAATACATCTACAACCATTTAGACTGCCCAATAACTACAGACAACAACACTAATTATATTACTAATATTAAAGGGATAGCTCACCTAAAAATAAAAATGTAATGTTTATCTGCTTACCCCCAGGGAATCCAATATATATGTGACTTTGTTTCTTCAGTAGAACACAAACAAAGATTTTTTAAACTCAAACCGTTGCAGTCTGTCAGTCATATATAGTGGCAGTCAATGGCCCCACTGCTTTGAGAGTAAAAAAACATACACAGACAAAACCAAATTAAACCCTGCGGCTCATGACGATACATTGAGGTCTTAAGACACGAAACGATCGGTCTGTGCAAGAAACTGAACAGTATTTCTATAAAAAAAAATGTTTTACCTCTGATCCACCACATTGTCTAACTGTCCTGAGCGCGTTCACAACATCCGGCGCATGACGTCAAATTAATACGGTTGGGCAAACAATTCCACGTTGTCTGATGATATATCAAAATTGTCTCTTCTATTGTGATGACATGTACTTCTAAATAGCTTTAGATCATGGCAGTGCCAGTGAACACGTCCACAATCTCTCTGCACTGTGTAAATAATGAGTTGTGTAAAACAGATCGCTTCCGCACATGTGTCTACTATCGTAGATATGTATAGATGCCCAATTCGACTGCTCCAGATACGTTGACGCGTCCGCCATTTTGGAATATATCGCGGCCCATAGAAACAGTTACTAATGAGGCATCTACTTATATATATCTATGTCTACTATGCCAGAGCACGCACGCAGACATACACGTGTCGGATGTTGTGAACGCGCTCAGGACAGTTCGGACATTGCGGTGGATCAGAGGTAAAATATTATATAAATACTGTTCAGTTTCTTGCACAGACCGATCGTTTCATGTCTTAAGACCTCAATGTATCGCCACGAGCCGCAGGGTTTAATTTGGTTTTGTCTGTGTATGGTTTTTTTTACTCTTAAAGCCGTGGACCCTATTGACTGCCATTATATGACTGACAGACTACAACAGTTTGAGTTAAAAATCTTCATTTGTGTTCTACTGAAGAAACAAAGTCACCTACATCTTGGATTTTTGGGTGAACTATCCCTTTAATATATTTAATACTGCTAATACTACTAATAAATAGAGTATTGTATCAACGATAATAATTATTATTGTTATTCTTGTAATAATAATAATTATTATTATTATTATTATGTCAAAAAGATTTTGATTCTGCATATTGGTTATCAGACTCTTGCATGAAAACAATTTGCATCATTCATAAAAAGGCAGTATTCATGTGTGAAATAACATCCTTAAGTTGTTAAATGAATAGAAGTAGTATCACTGTATCATTTAGTATGATTAAGATACTATTATAGTTGTTAATATTTTGAAGTAGTTTTTGTTTTTCTATTTTAAATGTTCATTTAAAGTTTTAATAATTTTGTTGTGTTTTTGCCATTTTTAAACTTTTTTTTATGTCTATACAGTTTGTATTATTTTTTATGTCAGTTTAGTTTTAGTCATTTTAAACTACATGAAAATGAGAAACATTGCCTTTGCAACAAGCTGAAATAAA